AGGAATGATCATTAATTTAAATTTCCCAAAATCACATATCTAAACAAATTTAATAAATAATTTTTATACATTGTAAGAAATTTAAAAAATATAAGAACATACTTTAGAAAGTTTAGATTTGCAATCATCATGGACACACCTATGACACCAACAACACCACCAATCTGTTAATCCAGGTTCCATATCACAATCTTCATTACATATGTCACAAATAACATTTAGTGGTAAATTTCCTTATGTAAAATGAATGAAAATTAATTTAAATAACTTAATACTTTAATTTAAATAATTTAATATCATAATTTTATAACTTGATATTAAAAAAAATCAAAGTAAATAATTTAATTTTAAATATTATATGTATATTATGCATGATTATTTTTGGCTAAAATTTTTATCTATATAATTAAAAAAAAATGTCAGAAAAGAAAAGAAGAATATTTTAAAAATTATTTTGCAGAATCATATTTTTTTAAAAATGCAAATATATATATATATATATATATATGCATTCAATAATTATATTATTTTTTTAAATGAAAATGTATTTTTTTTACAGATTGATTATTCTTTTTATTTTGTACAAAAATATTGAGATAAAATGGTAGAATATATAATTTACAATTTATAATTCATAATATATAATTTATAATTTATATTTCAATAAATCTTTTTATTGAAGATATTCAAATGCTTCTCTGTTGTGTTTTAAACATTTCATGTTTAACAAATGTTTTCAACATTTAACTTTTTTCGATTATTTTCATAATTATTATATATTTTAATTTTACCTAAACTTTTAAATCTTTACAATGTGATAAGAATAAAGAAAAGAATAAAGAAAAAATATTTGAACATCTTCTTCAAGATAAAAATATTTATTAAAATATTTTATAAACTATTTATTTTTTTATCACTTTATCTTTTTATATAAAATCATAAAAGTATTCAAAGAATGTTCAATTTATTTAAAAAAAATAATTATTGCACTTATAAAAAACTATGATTCTGTAATATTTTTTTATCATTCATTATTCTTCTTGATATTTTTCTTTAACATACTGATAACAAAGTTATGATTAAACATAGTTGTTTAGATATATTTACTTACATATATCCTATATAATATATATGTATGCAAAAATAAAAAAATAAAATGTACCTTTTATCCAATGATGATTCATTGGTTCATTTATATTTGCAGTAATAATTTTACATTTTAATTGCTTATCTGCGATCTTAACACATGTAGGATCAGCACAAACTCCACATGAATCACAGATTAAACCACTAATATTTAACAACAAGCTTTCACAAATACTACAATAATATGCCTATAAATAAAAGCAGAATTTTTAACTATTATATATTCATATAAAAAATATTACATCTCTATATTATATAATGTTATGTAATATATAATATATAAATATTTATAAATTACAATATTCATAAATCATTTTTAAGATCAATTTTGGTCAAAAAAAACACAAAAGTTGATATATGAAAATAAGACTCATTTATAGATTTATTATAAATATGAAGTTTGTTAAATGAAGTGAGATAAAGACAAAGTAATAGTAATGTGATAGAAATAAAACTGTTTCTCTTTATTTATTTATATTTTACTTCATCTAATAATATAATATAAATTTAAATTATTTATAGTTTAATAAATTTTTATATATAATTAGTACATAATATTTTTGTATATCAATTTTTGTTTGTTTTGAGAATCTTTCTAAAATTGTTCCATGAATATTAATATCTTATTTATATATTATAATTGTATATTTATTATTTTAAATAATAGTGCTATCCAAAATGAGCATTAGTTCTTTGAATTTGGATGATGCAAATCACATGCAATATTTTATTCTAATTGATTCATAACTTACTTTCATAAATAATAACATATCTGTATTGATTATTAAATTAATATAATATAATGTAAATTAACTAAACGTTAACTAAAAAGTTAATATGAAAAGAATATGAAAATATATGTCTTATATATATATATATATTTATATATATATAAATTTACCTTGTTTTCTTTTTTAATGGATTTCCAGTTATGCTCTTTTGTAACATCTCTAATGTGAATATACGATTCTCTTGCAAGATATTGAAAAAAATTTAATATAAGTACGAAAAATATAATAAAAAATGTACATAAAATACTAGTAGTAACTCCGTCTTCTAACATGTTATCACATAAATTTTATTTCTTCTAAAATTATCACAATTCTTCATAAATTATTAAATATATATATGTATATATATTTAATATCACATATCTTTTATACATTTCAAATTTTTATACTAGAAAAGTTTTTTTTTGTATAATTAAATAGTTTGAATCTTTTTTTTTCTTTCAGTTGCACTAAGAAAAAATATAAATATAAATATATATTACACTGAATCAATGGAACTAAATCACGTGACAAATGCTGCGTCTTCAGCTATTAATTGACGAAATGATAGTATCAAGATCGATTTATTTACATATGTTACTGCGTACTTGCATCGATAAAACTTTTATTATATTAATTATTTATTTGTTGAATTTTTATCTCAGAAGTAATTTATATTTATTATTTATGTTTATATTGATAATGAATGATATACGAATTTAATATATGAAGAAATAATATTCTAAATTAAATTTTTATTTGGAGCACTAAAATTTTTTAAACTCTTTTTTGTTTTTATAGATTTGACATATAGAATCTCGAAAATAATAGTTATCGCAAGTCATTTTAAAAGTGACTTTAAAGTTTTCTAATAATTAGTGCTTTAAAATCTAATATGATTTTATGTTTAGAAGATAAAAACACTAATTAAAGAATTCCATATGATATAATTAATATTCTAATATATATTGATACATACGATTCAATGTAGATTTTTCATTCGAAAGAAAATTTGAATTTGGTGCACAATGATGTTTCTATCAATTGATTATATAAAAAATTAACATGATATTATAAAATTCTTTAAATGAAAGATAATTTAAAATTATCACGTTCTCAAATTATCCAATCAGATTGGGTAAAAATCCAACATGGCGTTATATTATAAAAAATAATATAAAATATATTATAATTTATAAAAATCCCTAAAAATGCGAAACTGCATATAACTAATTTTTAAATAATTAAAATTATTATTTTTAAATTCTGCATATCGAAATTTATAAAAATGTATAAAGAAGTTAAAAAATTTTAATTATTTAAATTAATATTTAGTGATAGTTATAAAATATTAATGAAAATAATAAAATATATCTGTAAATTATAGAATATTTTATTACATTTGTTACCAAGTTAAAATGTAAAAATTACTTTTCATTCACAGTAACTTTATATTATATCTTGTAGTACATTAGAAATTACTTTAAGTTTGCAGTTAAATGTTCCAATTTCACGTTAATTACCTTGCTAGACACAATTGGAACAAGTGAAGATTTATCTTTACAAAAATAGGAATTACAATGGCAGGTTTTATAAAATTAGTAAAAAATGTTTATTATGATCCTTTTAAGTGGTATGTAATAATAAATTTTTTTTTATGTTTTACATAACCTAAATTTTATGAACATCAAAAATTGAGTAACATAATATTATTATTTATTAAAATTCACCATTATTATTTAATTAAATAAATAGATGAAGTACATTCCAAATAATTATGCACAATCTTTTATTTACAGGTCAGTAGTTAAAAGCATTGGATTATTTGTATTAGGTGTAAAAATTGCTGTTGAATGTAAAGGAATGAATGTAATGCCACCAATTTCTTAGAAATTAAGATGTAGGAGCTAAAAAAAAAAAAATAGAAATTATTAATGTATTTGTCTTATTGTACATGTGCATATATATTTTATTATTTCCATATAAAAAATATTAAAATAAGCAAAATATATTTGTTTTATCTTATTTCCTTGAATTATTTATTTATTTATTATATAATCATTAATAATATATTGGCATTATTATATATTATTATAAAAAATATAAAACTTTTAACTATATAATTATATATTATACATTATACACATTAATGGAACATTATATATATTGATGTTCCATTAAAATCAATCTTTTTAAAGACTTTTTTATTGGAAAAGTTCTAAATAAAAGTTGAATGATTTAAAAAAGCATATATTATGAATAATTGTTATATATCTTTCACATCATTGTTATTTATAGCAAGACATTATTATTTTAAAAGATATTTTAACTTTAATTTTGTAAAAGTAAACATAACATCTTTGCTTCTTTTTTAATTTTTGTATATTAAATTTTATAAAATTAAAATTAAAATATTTACTGAACTTATGATTCCTTGCTATAATTTATTATTTTTTTTTATAAAAAATGACAAGTTTTATGCAACTTCATTTAAAAATTCAAAATTAACAAACAAATAATGTTACATTGTTTAATTTATATATAAAATCTTATGTGCAAAAAATAGAACTTTGCCATTTTTCTTAAATTTATCAGTTAAGAAAAAATATTCAAATACAAAAAAAAAATCCATATATGTAACTATGTTTCTAATAATTTTATATAATTATATTAAATAATTAAAAATTTAGAAAAAATAATTTAAAATATTAAAAAGATTAAAAATCTTAAAATGAAAAATAATTATATATAAATGTATAATATATATGTATACAATGTTTATTATATATATATACTTATGTTTCGGATATTACACATAAAATATTAAAAAATGATTTCTCTAAAACTATTACAAATCTTAATATGATTATTATTAGAGTTGATAAATAAATAATAAAAATTAATATATCATTCCATTTAAAGAATGAAAATGACAATTGTTTTATCTTCCAAAGTCTTTTTTAAAATTTAAAAAAAAATTACATTAATATTTATGAAAGTTTTAGAAAAAACAATTTGTAACATTTTATATAAAACATTTTGTATAAAGTACATATGTATATTCACAAAAGAATAAAAATTTTATATAATTTATGTTCTTTACATATGAACTAATAATGCTTTACAAATAAAACATACATCCTTCAGAATGTAATACATTTTTCAAAATTTCTCAATATAATTGAAGCTTATATCTTTATAAATTTATTGTCAAATATTTCATTTAATAAAACAATCATTTAATTCATTTCTTACTTATTTTATTTTGCTGTTACATATAAAATAAGTAAAAAAATATTTAATTATGGAATATAATAAAGTTGTTTTTTAATGCTAATATATATTTATGTTGTGTAATATATTTAACTATATTTATTACTAATTACTGTATAAATAAACAAATGTAATTAATTTTGTTTCTTATTTTTTTAAAACGCTACATAACATTTGTACATAACATTCTCTTATAAATGATTATTTTTTAAATTATATAATATATATTAATATCATTATTTTAAAATATCGTTAATTCATTATTATTTCAATTATATTTATTAAGTAAATCTGCATAATTTGGATTTTATATGTAATTATTTACATGACTTTGCTTCCTGTTTAATACAAAAAGATTATTATGAAAATTATATATAAATCGCATATTGAATAAACAAAAAAGTGAACTTTCGAAGAAATAATTTTTTAAACAAAAGTTACATATTTTCTGTTTTATAATATATTTCAAATTATAGTGCATTAATGAATAATAAATGATTGATGGAAATAGATATAGAGAATTGATTAAATAATTTTGATACATTACGAAGTTACATTAAAGATTATGTAACATATTATAATAAAAATATTTGTATACTATGCTGATTATTCAACTTCAGGAATATCTAAAATATGTTCAACAAATTCAGCAACATTTGTTTCCTTATTGGCATGTTCTGTGATAAAATCAAGTTTCAATAATTGATTATAATTTGGACGGGCAATATAATCTTTCATTAAACTGAAAAAATAATCATTAATTGAACTATATTATAGTGAATTTAAAATAATAATAAAGACAATTAAATTTACCATTTATTGATAAATTCTTCAAAACTAGCCGAAAATTTACCAGCTGGTAATTTGGGCGCTTCATCCTTTACAACTTGTTTTAATTGTTCAAAAGGTGTACCCCAAGATTCATAAGGAAATTTTCCTGTTGCTAATTCAACAAGAGATATACCTAACGACCAAACATCAGATCTGATGTCATATTGTGAAGGGTTACCCAATGGGTCTATCCTTTCTGGCTGAAAAAAAGGTCATGATGGAGAATTTATTGAATAAACTTATTGAATAAATTTATAGATATAAAAATTTATAATATACAAAATTTCTAATTAGATAAATTATATATTTCACAAAAACAATATCTAAAAAATTTGTAACTAATATTGAAGTAAAATAAAAATATTAATTAAAAATAACAAATAAATTTTTATTATTTTTGATTAACTTAGTCACAAAATTCATTTAATTTTATTAAAAAAATGTTTAAAAATTACGTACAGCCATATATGGTTTACAACCAGCATCAATAGTTTTGGCAACAGAATCTACAAGGTATCCAGAAATACCAAAGTCACAAATCTTAACTTCTCCTTTTCGATTAATTAAAATATTACTAGGTTTTACATCTCTATGAATTACTCGCAACTGTGAATACAGGTAATGTAATGCACTTACTACCTATAATTTTTGAAATTAAAATTATAATTAATATTACAATAAATATTATAATGAATTAATTAATAATTATTTTATTTTTGTTTTCTTACTGCAAAGGCAATTTTTCCTAAAATATCTTCAGGAATGGCATGTCCATGTTTATACACTTTCATATAAAATTTATCCAGACTCATATCCATGACTTCCATACATATCCAAACATCTCCTTCTCTAAATAATGCTCCATAAAATTGTACTGTATACTGGCATGCTGAACTACGCATAGAAATATCTAAATCCATAAGTAAACGCTTTTGTTCCTGTGTATTAACTGTTGCAGTTATTCTCTATAAAATAGATCAAATAATTGAATTATAAATATCTATATATATATAAATTATATATATATAAAACATTATTACCTTAACTGCCATAATAGTACCACTTTGTTTATGTCGTACTTTATCAACAATACCATATGCTCCACGTCCAAGAATACAAATTGTTTCTAAATCATCTGCTTCTACTACAAATGTTTTATCACCTATAGTTATTGTAGTTCTTTTATCCAAATTTCTTGGTGGTGTGCTACAATATATATAATACAAATATAGAATTTATTATCTTAATATATAATAATAATAATAATAATAATAAAAAAATTTATTTATTAACAATGTTTGACAAGTTATAATATATTTTTTATCTTATTAATAAAATAATAACAATAATAATAACATTAATTATATCATTTAAAACAAACACACATATAATAAATAATATATATTGGTAATATAATAATTTTGATGATTGATAATTTAATAATATTACATACACAGGTGCAGGTGTCTCTTCAGAAACCTGCAATTTCAAATTTCTTTTTCCACGACGTACAGCCATACTTTAATAGAAAATTGATAAATAATATTAAGTCTGCAAATGTCGCAGTACATGCAATTGAATATAATACATATTCAAAAAAATTGTAATAAGTGACAGATAGATATTCTGTAAAAAAATATATATATTTAATTTATATATAGGAATAAAAATACTAGTTTAAAAAAAGTATTGAAAAGTGAAGGTTATGGTAAAAATTTATCGTAAACAAAAGTGAATAAATTAATGGATAAAATTTTGAAAATACATTATTTTGAAAATAACTATATTGTAAGATCATTAAAAGATAATTTTCATAATACCTTATAAATAACATGATAATATTGTAAAACAATAATGATAAGATTCCAAATTTCCGTTGCCCATATATGAAGTTTTCAATAAATTCCGATACTTGCTTGAAATTGCTCACAAAAGCTAATTCAGTTTCAATTCATTTAAGCTTTTTATAAACTGAACACTGAATGATTTATTTCATACATTTCAGATATAGTATAAAACTTTTAAAAAAAGAATTATAATATTTTGTTTAAAAATTTTATGATACAATAATACATATATAATATAAATCATTTAATAAATTATAAATAAAATTAAAATTATTTATATAATATGAAATATTGAATACTTAATCTTAAAGTCACATTCATATGAATTTTCTAAATATGTTTATAAAATTTAATTTCAACTTTATAATATATCAATATATATATATATATATTATATATTAAATTCATAAAATTCTGAAATAA